TATCAATACAGAACTTGGGCTATTTTTGGTAGCAAGATTTTGACCTTGGTAAAGAGTAGAAGTAGGCAAATCCAAAGAATCAATACAATGTTATTCTAAAAGAAAAGGCCTTAAATTTTAATTGACTGTAGTTTAAGAGGGTCCCTAAAAATACAGTATCCTCCTATTTCAAAATCTGGTTCATTTTTATACAAAAATGAGAACTCTATCAAAACAGCTGAAACTGGATAACATTCCTATGAGAGTTGGTATCCTCCGTGCAAAACGCTATATAGTAGGGATATGAGCCCATCTGGAAACTTGTTAAGCAAATCAACAGTGTTACGTTAGTAACAGAAAGTACACATGGTAATTTCATTTTGTCATAATCAAGATAGCAACAGAAAGAAACAGGAGTCTGGCATCTCTAGAATTCTCATCGGTCTTCACGATTCTGTTACTATAATTCTAGCAAAACTCACAACAGGTACATTTTATCAGAAAATTTCTAAAAGAGCGCCCTCAGCTTCCTTATCTCAGTTTCCTTCTACTAACCTTCCTCTTCAACCTGACAAAGAACAGATAAATGCCTACTCATACTGTCAGTTTGTCTACAGACTCTTACATGTGCATGCCTGAGAAGAGGCCAACACTGAAATAAACGTCAGCTATCTGATATAGAAACGGATGTCTGATTCTCTAGAGCTTGACTTTCCTCTACTAAAAATTGTTTGGTTCCATAAGTCTTATGGATTCAATTCTTTTCAAATGTTCTGTAAATACTAATTCCAAAAGCTTTCATATACCAAGGCTAAAGTGTACTAATTGCTTCAGGGAGTATAAAAACATATTAAGCAGAATTCTCGCCTTCAAGAAAATTATCTGTTTCCCTCCCTAGGACATCAACTTCAAGAAGGCCTGGCCTTTCCAGTCTTGTTTACCACTCCATCTCTAGCATCTAGAATGGGGCTTGGCAAACAGAAGGTGATCAAAATATTTGTCACTGAGTAGATAAATCAGTGAACATGGAAACAAAGCCAACATGCTTTGAACAATAGGAGAATAAGCCATGTTAAACGGTGGCACTACTCTAAGGGCAGCAGAAATTAAAAGAAAGAAAAGATGAGGGCAGGCTGAAATAGCCTGAGAAGCCAGGGGGAAAATGGTAGTGAAGCCATCCCAGAAGGAAGGATTTAGATGGTGAAGAGGAGGGAAACAAGATTCGCAAAGACAAGAGATGGAGAGATCATATCTGTCTGGCGGCAAGTGAGGGGGTGAACAAAAGTGGAGGCGGAAGCTAGATGAGGTGGATTTGAGGGCAGACTGCAGAAGGCCCGGGAAAATCAGCCACTGGATTCCACTTGGTTGGAAGGTACCTTTCAAAAATCATTTTCCACATCCCCATTTTAACCTCTAAAGGAAACTGAGTCTCAGAGGAGGCATAAATCTTTAAAAAGCAATAGGGCAATGGGACTGATAACCAATCTTGGGACCCACCTAAAGGTAAATTTTGGGTTATTAAAAAAAATCTTAACATAAGTTCCACAGTACTAAAATTCATGGTTTATCAAAGAATAATAAAGGTCATAAGCCTGAATTCACAGCAACTTTTACACCTAACATACATACACTCTTAAGTGAAACTTAGTTTTATCATCACAGCAGGGTAAATTTAATGGATCTTATAAAAATTGTAACTCTCAACTAATATTAACCAGAGAATGACGCTATTCACTAATTCTGGAAGACCTAGAAATATGTAGACGTCAAAAGCTCCCAATGGTTCTTTGTTAAACAGTCACAATTTTGAAGACAGCTTTAGATAAACCCAACAATTGAGATGCTTGCTCTTTCATCAACCTCTAGCTATATTTAGTAGCATGGTTTCCTTTGTTCAATAATTATTTTTGATAACTACATATTTATATTCTCAAAAGCAGAGTACTTTGGACATATTTGTTAAACCAATGGATGGCTGCATGGACAATAAATAAACCAAATGACTGTATTAAGCTCTCTGAGATGTAATGAATATAATGCTTCATATATGTGGATCCTAGATTCAGCCAGGGCTAAGGTTTCCAGACTTTTACCAAGATGTCTTTCACATTTAGATACAATCAGACTACAGTTAAAATGGGTAGAGGGAGCAGGAACGTTTGGTAGCTAAGCAAGGATGGTGGTGCTTGTGAGAGCAGGGGTGGATTGACCGTGAAGCTAACGAAGGTTCAGCACCAGAGCCTCTCACCTGCAAGACCCCTTCCAAGGCCCTTCGAGAAGCTCTAGTAATGTGTTCACACAGTCGTATATTTTTGTTAAATTTATCAAAGAAAGGTATAATAGAATTTATTCTTCCTAAGTGGACCCTCAAAATAAGATTCAGGCTGCACACAACTTGGGTCTGCCCCTGTGTAAGAAGTAGGAAGAAGTTGGCAGTAGGAGAAACACTGATAGTTACTGAGAACATCATTAGAATAGTGGGAACAGGAGCTTGGGTGCCAAATTTCTGGGCAGCTTGCTTTTTTTTTTTTTAATACCATTTCTTAGGCTCATAGTTCTCATATCACGACTTTCCTTTCAGCTTATACATCTTTGCAAATGAAGTCACAAGAGACATTCAGCTGTTACAAACTTCACGTCAAGCTTTGAAGTGCTTTTTAATAGCAGAAATATTTGGCTCACGTGTGGGCTTTATAGCTATGATAAATACCTCCTAGTTATCTGTCGCTACTGTTATTCCACACCTCCAATTTGGAGGGGAAATTCTGCATATGCATTGAGGCACTAAAAAAGGATATTGAACTCTATCTTAGCTCTTTTGTGAATGGCTTCCTTTTATTTCTTCTCTCATGGAACTAATACTTTCATCACATTGTACTGGTTATGTGTGGGAAAGCAGTGGATGGAGGGAGAATACTGATTATTACATCAGTGGTTGGCCGTCTCTCTTAGCTTCTTGACAGTTAAGTGATCAAGTCGCTCCTTAATATAAGACCAAGGCATTTCAAGGATTGACTCATCCACCTGTTTTCTAGAAAGTGCTTTAGTAGACTTTGGACAAAATGTTTGCAGGGCTCGAAAGAAAAGAAACTGACCACAATTAATATGAGATAAAGAAGGAAAAAAAAAACCCACTCTCACCTTGGAGGTTTCTCTGTGACTGTTACTGATATATAGTCTATATGTCCAGGTACATCTCAGAATAATATACCTAGAAATAGCATTTTTGAGAACAGAAAAATAGGAACAAAGACTATGTATTAAGCATTTGGGATATGTCCTTTGGATATGACATTTTGCTTCTTTGTGTAACTTAATTATTTTATGAAGAAATGACAGAAAATACTATTGCACTCCATAAGTTAAACACTTGACATTTTTATTCCTCAAAATGCAACATTTTAGAAGTCTAGATATGTTTATTAATTAGTGATTATTAACACCCAGTAAACAACATTATGTCTTGTAAAAACACAATCTATCTTCACAGCATGAAGCTAAAATCTATTATTCCCTGATTCCATATGCTGAAATACACTCAAATGGTCACAAATGACCTTAAACATTAAATAAATGTAAATGAGGACAACATAGAAAATGCACTTTTGATTGATAACTAAAAGACCAGGTTGAAAATCATGTCCAAAAATAAAGTCCTCCCCAGAAGGATAAGGCCATCTGCACTGTGAAGGAAAGGCTATCCTAACAATGAGGACCCCACAGGTAAGGGCAAACCCTTTCTCTTTCTCTGAACCTACCCCATGTTTTCTGGAAAACAGAATTGGTTTGTTCATTTATATCAGAAACACAGAATATGCTGTCCCCTGTGCCACCAGCCTACTCTGAACATTTTAATGCAGGATTAAAAAATATATATGGACACTTCCTTAAATTCACCAATTAACATAAGAGAAAAAAATTATTGCCATTCCACAGCCTCACACCAATATGTGTCATCACTTTTGTTTCTAAGCATCGTAGCTATTTTCGTGTCCCAGGCCAGCACACACAGACCACTGGCTGCCAGAGCTGTACCACGGGTGTGTCCAAGAGAAATAAGTCTGTAGGCCTTATCTTTTAATGAATAGTTTATATATCTAATTTTGAAAAAAGTCAAACAGGGAAGTTGGGGTGGGAGAGCGCCTCACCACAGGGAAAATTCAAAATAGCAAAGGATGACAGCTTCACAGTAATAAGGAAAACAATTAATTTAACACGGAGTTATTCTAATAAAGGCTGTGGTTAAGTGAATGAGAAAAAATGCACAAATACACATATTTCATGTGAAAACTATGAAATGATTACTCACTTCTATAGGTCCATTATTACCAATGGGCAAAAATAAAATGTAGCATCACAGAACATACCATTGTTTTGGTTGAGAGCATGCATTCCTCCTAGATTGTATAAGAATTAACAGAATCTACAAGGGAATGGACACCTAGACTATTTTAAAATCAGGGAACAGAGCAGAGTTTCTCAGTCTTGGCACTACTGACATTCTGGGCCAGATGTTTCTTTGTTGTATGGGGGTGTCTGTTCTATGCAACATAGGATGTTCAGTGGAATCCCTGGTCTCTGCCACTAGATGCCAGTAGCAACACTCCCCTATCTCCTCCCAAGTCGTGACAACAAAAAAAATGTCTTCAGGGAATGCTAAAAGTCCCCTGGGGAGCAAAAACTGCTCCTAGGCTGAGACTCACTGGAGGAGAGCCATTTAAGGAGTTCCTAGGCAGAGCTTCTCCCAACCTCATACTGCATAATCACAAATCATCCCCAACCCAGTGTTTTATATACATGTCTTGTTTTCTCATCTGTTAATTGGAGATAATGAGAGTGTCTGTCTGTCTCATAGTATTCCAGTGAGCATTAAGTGAGCTAATACTTGTAAAGTGCTTAAAACAGTACGTAACACACAATGAGTACTCAATAAATGTTAGCCATTATTTTTTAAATAAGCATCCATAGTATCAAGAAAAGCAATTTCAATGGGAGTGTCTTAATGCAAAAAAGTATCTTACCAGCTTGATATTTTCTGGGTCTTAAACACACCAGCCTTCTGATTCCTTGCGATGATGTCTTGCACATCTACAGAACACAGTTAAGAAAGCGTCTGCAGTGATTGTGAAGTGACCAAAAAAAAAAAAAAGGTGCACAAACAGTCATTTTTTTTTTTATTTTTTTGACAGGGTCTCGCTCTGTTGCCCAGGCTGGAGTGCAATGGCCTGATCTTTGCTCACTGCAACCTCTACCTGCCGGGTTCAAGTGATCCTCCCACCTCAGCCTCCCTAGTAGTTGGGACTACAGGCATGTGCCACCATGCCCAGCTAATTTTTGTATTTTTAGTAGAGACGGGGCTTCACCACACTGGCCAGGTTGGTCTCGAACTCCTAACCTCCTAATCCACCCATCTCATCTTCCCAAAATGCTGGGATAACAGGCTGAGCCACTGTGCCTGGCTGATCCTTTGATGAGCACAGTGAAAGGAGAAGAGCTGCATGTAGGGTGTGAAGGAGGATGCTAACTTACCACAGGAAAGCTCTTTTACTTCCCTACGCTGCATTTTATCACCTGTGAGATGTATCATCATGGCAAGACCCATAGTTATGAGTGCTGGTGGAAAATAACTGTCCCATAGGTGCCATGTCCTACTTGCTTAAAAGGGCAAGGATTCCAAAGGCAAGCCTCTCTGTCAGCAGGAAGGGCAATGTCAGCCTTCTGAGACTTTCCAGTGTGAAGGTATTTCCAATCTCCTAAATGCTACTAGGGATGGGTGGGGAGGAGCAGCAGGACCAGACTTGAGGGGAAGTGAGAAGAAAAAGATGGAGAAAATCCTGGAGAATCTTTGAGAGAAAATTAATTACTGAAGAAAGTCAGTTCAGTGAAAGGTCCCCTGAAGAACTGTCTTTACAGACTTAAGCTTTGGCCTTTGGCATGGAAGTACTTGTACAAAAGAACCACATTTATGGAAGACAGGTTTTCAGGAGATGATTCATTACATCACACAGTGCCATATTTACAAGGGCCCGTCGGAAAAAATTGTCAGGTTTCAGCACAAGGAAAGAGTGAACTGCAGATCAAGGGATGTTGCTTCTACCTCCCGGCACTGTAAGTCTTAGAGTTGATCCTCTTTTTTTGTCTGCTCCAGCCCCTGTGCAACTCAGAGCCAAATGTGTGGCCTGACTGTAACAATCATAAGACCCCCTCTTGCACATATTTTTTCTACTGACCTCTATTCCTGCCTTCATCATCTTTTCCCGGCTTTCCAATTTCCAACTGCCCTCACTTTCCCATTTATTTTATATGGTATATTCTGTGCCACCGTAAGAAGCCTCAAAATCCCTCTTTTGGAATAAGGCAGGTTTAAATAAACAAGAAATAAAATAATTCCAGTGAAGGTTGCAAGCTGAATTAAATTGGGCCCATGGGGAGGACACCAAGCAGACAAGTGATGTTCTCCTATTGCTCAGAAAAACAGATTTCCTGACTGCTCAAAGCAAGCATTGGCCAAGATCTCCCTGCAAAAACAAAGCCACAGGACTTTTAAACCCAAATCTCTGCTTGAACCACCAGGTACACCCATTTCTTCTCTGAGTGAATAAGCAGGTACTGTGATAGCTTTCTTCCCCCAGGTGTGGGTAGGAAAAATCAATTAGGTCTCCTAATGAAGGGCTTTGTTGAGGTTTACAAAAGTGCTATAATGCAGACTTTTTTTTTCCTGGGTGAACTTTCCTGTATGCAAATTAAATACCGTTAAATTACATTCATTAAAAAAATAAAAGAGACTAATTTGCCTACTTGTTTTGATTAACTAAAATGACACATCGGCCTACAGTTCTGTCTATTTCAGGAAGAAAGTATTTCAGGAAAGTCTTCTAAATGAAATGTCTTGGAGAAAAGGACAGCTGACATCTTTATTCTGAGAAGAACAAAATTAGTAAAGAGTCAACTGACAACTGTTTTTGATTAAGTTCCCCCACACTCTGGCCACACCCTACTCAGAGTTTCCATGGCATCCAACCGCATACCATCATGTGCCCGGTACACCTGTAGAGCTGTGTGAGTACATGACTAATCTATCAAGCAAAACATATTATTTTGTTAGTGGAGGTAATACTTTTTATAAAATAGTCACAGGGAATTTAAATTATATAACTCAGAAAACCTATTAATAATTTTTAGTAAACATCTTAACACTATATACTTTTATACAATTTATAAACCTGTGACTCCAGGTGGTAAGATTGAAGCAAACATATGTATTTATATTCTAAAAGCAATGTTTTCAAATAAAAAAAAATCCACAGCAGTATTTAGGCTGCTTTATTTTTAGAACTGGACAGGAAGTATATTTTGTGGTTTAAGAGATTTTTTTAAATATTAAAATGAGCATGAGAAGAAAAAATGTCAATAGTATTTTAAAATATTGCCTTAAGAGATAAATTCAGATATCCTGCTCCCCACCTACCCTTTACCTTAGGTCAGAGTTTGATGGTTCTTCTGGATGGCACTGTGTCCTATAATAGATTTTATCATTCTTCTGTGTCACCTCAGGGTAATAAAGGAAATCCAATCACATTGAGTCAATACGTCCAGGATAGTGTTCAACACAACGGACCAAATCGTGTTCTCTGAACCGCACCCACCTTCTGGAGGACTTCAGTGGGAGGGGCTGGCTGCAAAGAAAGCCTTAATGTGATTTTTGATTAAATGAATACAGAGTAATCGCCTCCAATCCCCTTGTCTAGGCAACTGGACTTCCAGAGCTACAGGATAGATGTTTGTGGCTAAAAGGAAACCAGAATTCTATCTCTAGGTTTTCTTCTCAAGTAAAGCACTGTTCAGGGGTAGGGCTCCATTTAAATTTTGTTTCAGTTGATTTTTATTCTTAAGAAATATTTTTATAATAGTAATAATTTGAAACAAATTATACAATGTTACATGTATATATCGTATTGTGAAAAATATCAGCCTCCTCCTGCAATAAGCAATTATTATATTTATCAATAGTTACATATACATTTTGAGAAAAAAATATTTTTAAAATAGTAACACTGTGATTCACAAAGCACCACTTTCTTGGTTTATGTTATCTTTATTTTCGTTGGAGCACCAAAAATGAGGGTAGGAAACTATGAGATTATAATATAAATCCTATTCATTTTGATCTCTCAATGTTGTTTTAATGATTGATGTGGCAATATTTGCTAATTTAAGACTGCAAAATATTCTTATATGTGCTTTTTACTCAAATGAATTGAGAAGCAGACACAGAGGTACTATAAACTCTCTGTTAGCAAAGCCAATTGTTAACATTTATGGATAAGAGGCCTTTATTTCCAGAGCGTGGTAAGGAAATGCAAGATGATGTTCCCCAAATCATTTTAGTTTTTGGTGACACAGAATGGTTTAAGTGGAAAAAACAAAAGCTTTGAAGTTAAATGAACTTGGCTTCTAGTGCTGGTTCTGATGGTGGCTGTGTGTCCTTGGGTTAATTAACCTCCCTAAGCTCCATCTCTAAAATAGAAATAATGATACCTATTTGTTAGGCTTAATGGAATATCACATATGATGGGCCTGGCACACAGTAGGTGCCCAATTCATGTCAACTCATTATCTTAGTGAATAATTCACACAAAATATTTGGTAGTAACTAACATGAAGTTTGGGAGTTACACTTCATTTTCTTTCTCTGCTGCTTAGAACTGGCCGCAGTGGCTCATGCCTGTAATCCCAACACTTAGGGAGGTGGAGGCAGAAGGATAGCTTGAGCCCAGGAATTTAAGACTTGCCTGGACAACATAGCCAGATCCCATTCTCCACAAAAAGAAAAAAAAAAACCAAGTTATTATTAATTATGTGAACATTTACATTGTAGAATTTAAATAACTGGAAGTTATCAAAGGACTTCTGGCCTTCGTGTGTATAAAGTGTTCCAGCCAAGGCAAAATCTGTGTCCCCTTAGACCTTTCTTGTTCACTACTGTATCTTTAGCACCTGTAATGACATGCCATAAATATTGGCTGAATTAATTTTAACTCCAAAAAATATATATTTGTTGAGCTGCTACCCAGTGTGAGGCACACAGAGTTTATGACTCATCAGTAGAAGGAAGTACAGCTGGCATTAGAGGAAGGAACCTGGACACAGGAAGATGGCCTGGGATTTCCACATTGTCAGCCATCTATGATGCAGGCTGCACAGTCCACATGAAGCTTTGCTCATTAGTTATTCAATTCAGGGATTCTATTAAATAAAAATAATATTAAACTGGGGTGTCTCCTTTAAAAAGCACAGGAGATTAACCCATTTTCGGAGAATCCTAAGTTCAAGACCATGATCCACACCATGCATACTATGGGGATAAGATACTTGAGTCAGGGGCACAGAGAAATGGGTCACCAAACATTGGAGTTTTCTGCATAGAACTCCTAGATATTTACTAAGACAGGGTGCTTATGCTGGGCACATTAGTGATCGAAACCAGAGAGGGTTGCTCACCTTCAGGAGTTCTACATTTATTCATTATAATTTAGAAGAGGCCTGGCATCAATAATAACTCAGTATACCGTGCCTCTCCCCTATTCTTAGGTCACTGTTATCACAAGCTACAAACCTGATGGAGTAATTATTATATGTGGGCAATTGAAGATTTCTTTCTTTACACTAGAAGGGCATTGGAAAAAAAAAGGAACACATTTCACACTGTTTGAGAATAAATCTGAGAACTGGACAAACCAAATAATCCCATTTCTAATTCATCCTTTGTTCTCTTGGGTATAGATAAAATGGCATCTGTAGGGAAGAGGTGGTCTCAGGTATGGGGGCTTTGGTTAGTAGATCCAGCAATGCAGTTTAAGGACCGAGGAGACCTTAGGGGAAAATGACCCAGGAGTCTAAGAAAATATTTGTGACTTAAAAAAATTCATTTTTACCTCAAGTCTTAATATCTTTCCACACATCTCTGTTTAATAAATCAGATCAACATCTAGCTTTTCAGAGTCAAGATGGAAAGCTCAAGAAGACATAGGCAATCCATTTGATACATTTTAAGGAGATAAGAAATAACCTCCAAACTGGTTGACATGCCTCTGTGATATAAAGATTCAGAACCAATCCATTCATTGCCTCACATACTAAAACAAATAGAAATAATATAAAATTAAAAGGAAACATCAGAAGATGCTGTTTTTTTTTAAAAAAGGTAAAAATCAGAATCTTAGAGGCTTAAGAGACTAAGAAGACTCCATTGGATTCATTAAATGCAGAAGCCAAGAACAACAAAAATAATTCAAAAAATGATGAGAATAATAATACAGGCCAATACTCAGATGTGATATGCCATTGCCAGGTCGATTTTCAATTACATTTCACTGATGTATTCATTTGTTTCTTAATGTGCTCATCTTGCCCATTAAGAATAATTAGCAGCTTTACTAAGAGATTTTCTGGCTTCTGGCAATGTTTCTCCCCCTTTTTTGTTGACATCCACTTTTACTTTTTAGAAAGTAATTTTTGAATAATATCCCACAACTGCTATATAATTTAGACTTCCTAAAATTTTAAAGGAAAGATGTAAACAGTAATTTTTAAATAAGTTTGTTTCAATCTATATGCATCAATAGCATGTGATTCAGTGAATTAGTTATTCTTACAGAAAGTGGGCACATAAATAGAAAAAAAATCATTCATATTAACCTCAGTCAGTAAAACAGATGACAACGAATGCCAATTTTAAGCTCTGTTGGCAAATCAAGAATAACATTAGTATTAAAAGCAGGAAAAACACATTGCCAATTTTAAGGCTTTATGCATGCTTTTTCTCTTAATTAAAAAAAATTAGATCTAGTTACAACAGAAAAAGGCACACAAACATAGAACAACTGCATGGTAAAAACTGAACTCCATCAGGGAAGTCCTAAGAGATGAAATAAAACACACTACCAGGTTTGGTCTGCATCCTGAAAAGACCTACTTTATCTACATTGTAAAGTTCTTCCCCTCCTGCCCTTTGGCACCCCGCTATATTAAACCCATTGTAAAACCCGGCACAATAAAGCACTCTCAGGGCTGAGCTTCTGAGGACCAAATGTTAAAAATCCATTTTCTTGGGAGGGGGCTGTACCAATCATTTCTTTGAAAGGCCGGCGGAATGAATACGGAATCTGAGATTTCCTCTCTGATTTCAAAAGCTGGCAGGGCATCTTTGTTGTTTAAAGCAAAGGTGTGTTAATTAATGACATTAGCATTGCTTCCCTTCTTTGGAAGCTCTGTAGTTTAGCTCAATAATAATTTTAGTACAATTAGATTTACATACTGACTACAGATGTTGCCCATAGTTTGATAAGAGTTCTAATTGGTTTCTGATGCTATTAAATAAGACACCTGCTGACTTGAAGAAAACCTTAGGCTACTGGGCCCAAGCTGAAAGTTTCTGTGGCTAAAATAATCTTCTGTTGTCCAATAATCCTGTTCCCCACACCCTCTAAAAATCCGCTGGGGCTGAGCTGGCATACCTGAGCTTCCTCTTGCTCTGTATTCCCTGACATAAAGAGGAGGAGCACAGTGAAATGATACATGGATACAGGCACGAAATAACTCAGAATAAAGCAGAGTGAATGAAACAACATCCGCTCATCTTCAGGAATATTTTGAAAAACTTGAGACAGTCTCAAGAACGTGATTAAAATCCTGCATTTTAAAAAAGGAAGCACCTTTTGTGATCTCTTTCCCTTGTGTGAAAGGCCAAGATTGTGATTGGCTGTTTTTCCTTCCTGAATTTCTTTTTTAAGTCTGTCAGGCAATTAGCTGGGTGGGGCTCTGTGGAGCACACAAGTGTTACTGAACAATATTAGCTACCGTGCTTCTCATACCTCCTTCCTCCTGTTGAGCAACTTGATGAAGCTGCTGCATATTTTCAAAGAATCATATGGCAGAAGTCGGGAAGAAAATCAGAAATAGATTGTATGTAAGATGCCACAGAAATCAAAACTGCTTTGGCAGTTTAGGAGCTTAAAATTCAAATAAGTAGATTGTCTCCTTCATAATGTAAATGTAAGGCACACCAAAAAAAAAAAAAGAATCCAAAGCAAACATACCTTCTACTTTTCCTCTCAGTTTCTAACAGCTGCTAACTGCCCCTGAACAAATCAGCTCAATTGCTAAAGTAGCCACAAATTATGCTTGCTTTCTTAAAGTACAGTTCAATTTTCATGAACTCTATGTACATATTAGTAAAGCATAATCTAATATAATGGAGTTTGAACTGTAATAGCATAGCAGAAAAACAGAGATAGCTTGTATAATCCTAAATAAAAGGAAATAATGAAGAACTGACAGCTGTTTCCAGTGGGAAATATAGGTAACTCCTCAGCAATTAGAGCAGGCACAATATTCCATGGCACATACAATATCAAGTGCATCAATGTAATAACAAATATGAAGCTGAAGTTAATATTTGCAAGCAATATCTGATACAGTAAATGCCAAATAATTTATTTTACACTGGTAAATTCCAATGGGAATAAAAGAACAAGAATGCTTGAAAATTATTGTGAAACAAATTTTCTTATTTCCTCGGGAGGTCCACAAAACATAGGCTCCTTTAATGACGAAAGAAAAAAACCCACAGAGATGTATGCAAGGAATTCATATATTTCTACTTTTTCTTAATTACTTATCATGTATGTGGGGGGGAAACTCTCTTTTAATACCCCATGCTGTCTTTCTTTATATCAATTGTTACTCAGCCGGGAAAAAGGAATGAGCACAACAAACCCGTTTTCTATCTGAATAAGGATACTTCTGATGGCCTTTTCATTCCCATCAGTTAACAGAACTTCTTTGACATCTGCAGAAATAGCAACCTGAAAAAAAAAAGGGAGCACAGCAAACAATGAGCAAATATGCTTGTCTGTGTGGAAGTGGAGACAGGAGTGACAAGCCTTCAGTATCATGCTTCCTCACCTATTTCTCTGTAACAATCTTCAATCTTTTTTCATTTTATGTCTGCATTATTTTAATCATTCAATCAAATCAGTCAATACTTTTATCATTCCATTTGCGGGAGCCTCTATCTTGCTATCATTCTGTTCGGTAATTGCATTGTGACAGCGGATGATGGTATTCTGAGAGGCTTTCATTTGTGGGCTTCTGTTTATCTAGTAGAGCCATCATACAAGGCTGTCACTCTGCCTTTCAGCTTGCTTCTGTCTGACTGCCTGATGCCCTTCATATAACTTTGCATTGCAGGCAGATGGCTTTGTGAGGGTAATTTTTTTGTGAGCTTTGACATGCTCGCACATTGGGCTGTAACCTCGACACATTGTATAAGAGCGACAGGTTTGTCAAATGCCAATCAGTGTAACAATATGCTTTTATTTGTAGAGACATAAAAACTTGTCTAATGCACTGTGCTGCTACATAATATCTCCTGAATACATGACTCAGAACCCAGAGAATGGGGAACGACGTTCCTGAATGGCCAATCTAATTCAAAAGAATCTAATTACTGAGCGCTCTGGATCATGTTTGTTGGTGTAATAATGCAGGCAAAACATTAGCAGCTATATCATGGTGCTCCAACTGTGATTCGCCGGGCTATTCCTGTATCTTAGCAAATGGGACTATAATCTGAAAAAAAAAAAAAATGTTTTCGCTATGGCAAAGAAAGACTGTGCGAGGCCTGGAATGTCACAACAAGCAATATTGACTGCACTGAGGTAAAATGTTTCTGCTCATCGAGGCAACCATAAAATCAATATGATCCGAAAGTAAGTCAATCTAGAAGGTCTCTCAAGACCTGGCAGCTTGACCGCAGCTGATGCTGTTGGCGGTTCTCTGACCCAGCAGTTGGAGGCCCTGGAACATTTTTCCTTTTGTTCCTCCCTCTGAATGGGATTGGAATGGAGAAAAGACCTACCATGAGCCCAGCCAAGCATGTCATGCCACCCCCTAGCTCACACACAGCAAGGGCCCTGAAAGAGAGAAAAGAAATGGTAGAACCCATACAAATTAGATGAAAATGGTCAGAGAGAGATATATGTTACAAGAACAAATTGCCATCTGCAGTAAGAACGGCGCTACCAGGAAGTTGTAGAGACATGACTAGGCTACCTCATGTCGTTTTGCGTTTTAAAAATAATTATGAAATAGAAAAGTCACAAAGCAGGCAAATCAGTGGGGGTTCCCTCATTAGTGTTCACTGCAACATTACCACCGCTGAGCTGAAAAATCTGAGAAGGTTCCCTTTTTTTCCCTTGTCAATGGCACTGTCTTTTAGAACTAAACTAGCTAGAGTAGCGAAAGATAATTGTTAGGAAAGGATAACACTGTTAATCCACATTCATTCCTTCAAAAACAGTTAGACAAGTAAATGAAGAATATATATGAGTGTGTATATACCTATATTATAGTCACATACACACAACACACACAAAATAAATAGATGCAATCCTGAATTTAAAAAAAAAATCTAAAACAAACTGAAACATTTTGGAAAGCTGAATAGCCCCCATAAAGAACAATTACACAAAGAGCATTTAGCAATTAACACTTAAATCACAATTGACCCCAACACAACACAGTGAACAAACAATGCAGGGACATAATATGGGTAAGCCAGCAAACCCAGGCTAGAGTGATGACTGGGCTCTGACTTCACTGCTCAAAAGTAAAGCGGCTCAGCGTTAAAGCTGACAGTCTAGGGTGGCACTCTGCACTTACCTTTCCCTTTGTGCCTAAATATCAGCCCTCAACGTGTGACATTCTCGCCCTGGCCCACTGCTCGCTGATTGGAGCTCCAGTCAAGCTTAAGCACAGCGAGATGAGCAAATGCCAGCCTTCCAGGGCAGCTCTGCAGCCCACAAAATTGCCTTGTTCTTATTTATATGCTTAGACTCTTAGGATTGTTTCCTCTTCCCAGTTTGGGAAGTTTATTACCTCAAGAGGAGAAAAAAAAAAAAAGCAAAATTAAAAGGGAGGGAGAAGTGGGAAGAGGGAGAAAGGGAGGACAAGAAGCCAGGGAAGGACATTAATATTGCAAAACACAATGAATGAGTGTTTGGTTGTTCAAAGCAATTATAGACTGGTTGATAAATATGGACCCATAGAGCTTAAAAAAATACATATTATTGACCCAATCTTGTAAGTGCATACTGTTAAAACACACACTATATCACTAGTGGTTTATCTGGAATCAGAATGGGCTATTCAGGAAGTATATATTGAATGACTTTTATAAAATAAGAATTAAAATGAAAAACCTATATTTTCTGGGTCTACCAAACATCTTTAGAATTTTCAAATAAAGTTTATTATTTTCTTTTTCCTAAATTTCATCCATGGGTTTGATCCGTAATGCATACTTACAGTTGAAAACACTTATTTCTATAGCATGAATCTATAATGGTAATTTATAGAATTTATCGTTCACAAACACATATTGTTAGATATATAAAAATACCTTTAAAACCAGGGGTGGGATGGCATCTTTAAATAATGGCTTGAGGTATTTATTTATCAGACATTCTTTAGTGACTTCCTTTGCAGAAGTTTAAAGAATGTCTTTATTGGTTTTTTTTTTTTTTTTTGACCTCCACAATCAGTAAGGATTGATTGGAGCTTCACTTTTGTTTCCCCCAAATCAAAGTGAAATAAAATGCCTTGAGTGGAAATCAAAAGCCTTTGACATACAGCAAAAATCTTGCTGTGCAATATTAGTACCCAAGGCAATTCAGATTTCATTTCAGAAGCAACATGTGTTCACTGTGAACTTTTTCCCCCTTTTTTCTGTTTTCCTTTTCTTCCTTTCTGTTTTCTTTTGTTCTTTTTCTTTCTTATTTTTTTCTAACAATTTAATTTGAAGAATATAATCATGGCAATTTTTAATATTTGATTCAATGTCTATGATGGGCTAAAGAATATCTTAAATGCAGCTCTGTACCTGAATATATTATTGTGCTTGAGGCAGTAGTAAGCCAAAACCTCTTCGGATGGCCAGATGCCTAGAAAACACAAGAGGATAAACCTTTTCATTATAGAAGTTATTCTTTTAAGAAATGTCTTTAAAAAATAATGTTCAGTACAAGCTATTTCAACTTGAATCAAACTTAACATAGTTATTACTTATATCATACCATAAGTGTCTTTTATTGTTGTTATTTTTATAATGGTGAGATTTATAACCCTTTTCCCCAGGATAATAGAAAAATATCCTAAATATACTTTACTAAATTTGGATCATAAGACAGCCAAAATAGTAACAACTAAAATCACAAGAGTTAAATTTTGATGGTACTTCAAGTAGATCTTAATCTTGTGCACATAAAATTAATATCAGTTGAAGACTTATATATATATATGCAGCCCATATTAGGCAAAAATAAATGGGACAGTCACACACAAGGGCAAATAAAACCACTGATGTCACTATACTTTTTTTGTTTGATTCCATGCTAATATTTTTAAATATACACAATTATTTTTCTTTCTTTCTTTCTTTCCTTCCTTCTTTCTCTTTCTCTCTCTTTTCTTCCTTTCTCTTTCTTCTTTCTTTCTTTCCTTCTTTCTTTCTTTCTTGACAGAGTCTTGCTCTGTCACCTAGGCTGGAGTACAGTGGCACAATCTCAGCTCCCTGCAACCTCTGCTTCCTAGGTAGGTTAAAGCAATTCTCCTGCCTCAGCCCCCTGAATAGCTGGGATTACAGGTGTGTACCACCATGCAAAGCTAATTTTTTGTATTTTTAGTAAAGATAGGGTTTCATCATGTTGGTGAGACTGGTCTTGAACTCCTGACCTTGTGATCCGCCCGCCTCAGCCTCCCAAAGTGCTGGGATTACAGGCATCAGCCACCATGCCCGGCCACAATTATTTCTTTCTTCAGATAAATAAAATCAAACTGGAGTATAAGATTAAGAAATTTTAATTTCACCAATTTTGGTACACCTTTAAATTTAACAATAATTCTACTTGCTAAATTGCATGGATGGACATTTTCTAAAATTATCATCCGTCAATCACCGATTTCAAATACTTAGTCTTCATGAATGGATATGAATTGCTTAAAGAGAAGACAAACATGCTTGGAATTTGTAGTTTCTAGTTGTTATCACAGGATGGTAGGCTTATAAGTGTTCTTAATTTTTTTCTTTATGCTTTTTTGTATTTTCCAACATTTTTACAATAAGCATATATTTCCCTTATAATTAGTATAAACTATGACCTTATAAAAATTATATTTTCCCCCAAATAATCGCACCTAAAGATCAGGCAGAATACCAGGCATCCTGTACTTCCTGAGGCTGAGAGCACCATGCAGTCCTGGGAAAGGGTAGCAAATATTCTCTGACTCAGCACCAAGCACTCTGCTGATGGACCTTAATGCAGGGTTGAAACATCTAAAAAAGGCTTAATATTTTTCCCCTAGATGAACCTCCAACTTTGAGGAGTAAGAAATCCAAACATTTCAGAGAAGAGGCTGTCAAAGAAATGTTAAGTAAAATCCTAAGAGATTCAGAGGGTAAATATATAAACAGCAAAGAGATGACTTTATAGAGCATTTGCTGCAGGAAAGCCCAGTCAGGGGTACACATTACCTCAGTCTCCCTGGCCTTTCTGGTAGAAACGACACCTTGGGGGAAAAACAAGGAAAACCAGCAGGAAGTGTTTGGAGTGATAGTTAAGAGCAAGGTCAGAGAGGCAGTGGAGTGTGGCAGTTAAGATCACAGATATTTTGGAGCCAGACTTACTGGGCTCCAGTGCCAGCTCTGCCGTTCCCTTGTGGAGTGACCTTGGACAGGTTACTTAACCTCTCAATCTCTCACACTCCTCATTTGTAAAATATCATCATTGCAGTATCATCAACCTCGCAGGATTGGCCTGAGAGTTAAATGAGTAAAATACATGCACTATGTTTAGAATGGCTCCTAACACATAATAAGCTCAAAGAAAAAGAAAGCTTTTGTTAATGTTGTTCTCCAGCAAAGAGAGATCGAAGACTGGAAGAGAGAATATGTGAATCCAAAATGATTATCCCAAAAACCAGAAAATTGGAGGGCCATTTTGACCTGTTCCTATTCTTGGAACCCCAAATCCTAATACCTGGCATATCTCCACATAAAAAGAACTCTATAAAGACCAAAGTATAAATAAAAGTTTCTGAAGGAAGAGCATAAGATAACGCTGTATACCAAGTTGATACGGTCACCACAATAATGAATTTCTTTATGCCTTTAGTAGATGGCTTTGAGGTTTAAAAAAAAATGACAGGGAAAGAGTATCTAACTAAAATTTAAGCCTTGATTAAGTACAAAAATGTGACTTCTAAAATGCAGTCTTTTGCAATAGTTTTATAATTTTCTCAAAAAGTATAGAGACTAATTTTTTACAAAATTAAATACAAAGAAGAAAGTTAAAAAAAAATCACCTAAAATTTGACCACTAGTATATAATCACTGTTAACATTTTGGATGTTATCTCAAAAGATCTTTCTAGGCAAACAGATATTTTACACCAATGGGATCTTTTCATGAAGATATTCAATAACCTGATTTTCCCTCATTCAATATGTGGTAGATAGCTTTACATGAAAATAAAATTATACTCTACCTGCATCATTATTTATAATTACTGCTTAGACATTCTATGTGTGCATCAGAATTCATTTAACCAGTTTCCTCTTGCAGACATTTCGGTTAGTTTCAAAGTTGTTGATATAATGAGTTTATTGTGTTGGTGCAAAAGTAATTGTGGTTCTTGCCATTAACATCAACAGTAGTACAATGACAACGCATCCTTTCCCAACATATGGTTTTCTCCTTAGGTCAAATACTAAGAAATGGGATATCTGGTCAGAGGTTACATATATTTTCCATTTTAATATATCAAACTGGCCTCCATAAAATGTGTACCAAATTATATTCCTAATAAGAGTGTTTGTTTCCTCAAAGCCTTGCCCACATGGGGTTTTTTCAACAGACTTTAATTTTTCTAATCTAAGTTTTTAAGTTATTTCAGTGAAAATCAAAAACTAAATGAGATACCACTTCACACTTAGTAGGATGGCTACAATAAAAAAAAGTCAGACAATAATGAATGTTGGGTGGGAGAGAATGAGGAGAAACTGGAACCCTCATGCACTGCTGGTACGAATATAAAATCATGTAGCCACTTTGGAAAATTGTCTAGCAGTTCTTTAAAAGGTTAAATGTAGATTATAATATAACTGAGCAACTCCATTGCTACCCAAGAGAAATCAAAATATGTCCAACAAAAACTTGTACATGAATGCTCATAGCAGCGTTGTTCTTAATAGCCCAAAAGTGGAAACAACCCAAATGTCCATCAACCGATGAATGGATAAACAAAATGTGATACATCCATACAATGGACTATTATTTGACAATAAACAGAAGAACCAATACATGCTACAACACGGATGGAACTGGAAACATTATACAGGCAATACCCAATTTTACTGCAGTTTTCTTTATTGTGCTTGTAGACGCTGCCTATCTAGTTTTACAGATTGAAGGTTTGTGGCAATCCTGCACTGAGCAAGTCCATTGGTGCCATTTTTCCAACAGCATGTGCTCAATTAGTCTGTGTCAGATTTTGGTCATTCTCATAATATTTCAAAAGTTTTTCATTATTGTTGTATCTGTTATGGCGATCTGTGATCAATGGCCTTTGTAACTGTTTTGGGGCGGCAAGAATTGCGCCCATATAAGATAGCTAGCAAACTTAATCAATAAATCTTGTGTGTGTTCTGAGTGCTCCACCAATCGGCATTCCCCCATTTATCTCCCTCTCCCCAGGCCTCCCTATTATTAGGCTAATTAATAAAGCTACGATGGTCTCTGAGTGTTCATGTGAAAGGAACAGTTGCATGTCTCTCACTTTAAATTAAAAGCTAGAAATGATTCCACTTAATGGAGAAGGCATGTTGAAAGCTGAGATAGGCTGAAAACTAGGCCTCTTACACGAAACAGACAAGTTGGGAATGTAAAAGAAAAGTTCCAGAAGGAACTTAAAAGTGTTACTCCATTGGAAGAAGATGCCATCTAGGACTTTGGTAGCTAGAAAGAATTCACTGTCTGGCTTCAAAGATAGGAAGGACAGGCTGACTCTCTTGTTGGGGGCTAGTGCATCTGTTGACTAAGTTGATGCCAATGCTCAGTCACCATTCTGAAAAATCACAGGGCCCTTAAGAATTATGCTAAATCTAGCCAGGCTCAGTGGCAGGTGCCTATCAGTCTACTCAGGATGGTGAGGCAGGAGGATTGCTTTAGTAAGCCCAGAAGTTTGAGGCTAAGTGGGCTATGATTGCATATGTGAATAGCCACTGTACTCTGCCCTAGACAACATAGTGAGACTCTGTCTCTTAAAAAAACAAAAAAAAGAGAGAAAATGAATTATGCTAAATCTACTGCGCCTGTGCTTTATAAATGGAGCAATAAAACCTGGATGATAGCACATCTGTTTATAGCATGGTTTACTGAACATTTTAAGCTCACTGTTAAGACCTGCTGCTCAAAAACAAAAAGCAATTCCCTTCCAAATATTATATACTGCTCACAGACAATGCACCTGGTCACCAAAGGGCTCTGATAGAGATATACAAGGAGATTAATGTTGTTTTCATGCCTGCTAACACAGCATCCATTCTGCAGCCCATGGATCAAGAAGTAATTTCAACTTTCAAATCTTATTTCAGAAACGTATTTCATAAGGATATAGCTGCCAAATACAGAGATTCTTCTGATGGATCTGAGCAAAGTCGTTTGAAAACCTGGAAAGGATTCGCCATTCAAGGTGCCATTAAGAACATTTGTGAGTCAAGGGAGGAGGTCAAAATATCAATGTTAACAGGAGTTGGAAGAAGTTGATTTCAGCATTCATAGATGATTTTGAGAGGTGGAAATAGCAAGAGAACTAGAATGAGAGAAATGGAGCCTGAGGACATGACTGAATTGCTGCAATCTCATGATTAAACCTGAAAGGACAGG